TACCTCTGGTGCAAATTACTGACCTCTGTCATCATTTTAGGTGGGGGAACTTGCACAATCGGTGGCTGACTAAATACTTTTTTGCCCCACTGTATTTCCAGTGTTGGCTAAACAGGGTTTAAATTTGAATAATTTCATTCTGTCCTTTTATTTGTATTAAGTACTTCAGTTTAAGTTTATTTTTTTTATTTTTTTATTTTTTTTATTTTTTTACAATTTCACCCATATCTAGTAAAAGGACTGGCCCTTACAGAATTTTTAATTGGGGTGATAAAAAAATGCTACTTGTAGACCTTTTGACTGAAAGCTCTACAAGCTTCTTGAAGGGGCAGCTGATATGCCATACAACCATTGTGAATGATAGATTTTATCTTTATGTTGGCTCTATATATCATTAACAATAACTCTGTATTGGTACCCCCATTCAGATCCTTCCTATAGTAGGGTGTGTGATTTCCTTGGAAATGAAAGTGAAACTACACCCTAACCTTATTGAGATAGAACAATGAAAATTTGCAGTAGTTTTGTTTTTGTTTTTGTGCAAGCTTATTAATCATGCACTGTTCCTAGGGAAAAAAAGTTAAAGTAACTATCCTCAGAGATGATTGCTCCAAATGCACAGAAAAACATAACATATGTTAGCTTAATTGGTTAAAATTCATTTACCACTTTAGGGAGTACTTCATGCAAGACCCAACAAGTCAAAATTAATGGTCAAAGCCATCATCATGAGATTCAAAGCCAGATTTAAAAATGGTATGCACAGCGCAAAAACCCAGCTCAGAAATGAATGCAGCCAATGAAAGAGTGTGAGGCGGGGAGTTTTGTCTTAACAAAAATAATAAAGTGTAAACGCAGGTTTTACATGTGTTTCTCTCTGAAAACAGCAAGGCAGTTCAGATAAATTAACAAAAGCTGGAGAAGAAAATCAATATGGTTTTATATAAAGGTCAACGTGTCTGTTAGTTGTTGGTGTGATGTGAAAGATAATGAGGAGAGATCCAGAGTAGAGCTGCATTATCAGAAACTATTACACCATATAAACCTGTGTGTAACAGCTGACCTGTATGATGTATAGACAAACATGAAAAATTATTTACCATCTACTCCCAAGCCATCTCCGTCTAAATACAAATACTGTTACAGTGCCATCATTGCTCTGTTTTTTTCTCCAGGCTATTTGAGGCTGCAGGCACTTCTTAAAGTCTGACACACTAATAAGGCCAAATTTTGACAGACAGAAGTTTTAAAAAGAAACTATGTGAACGTCACTCTGCATGCATGTAATTTTATGTACCTATCTCCATGTGTAAATGCAAACAGCCACTCATAGATGTTTTTTCTCCTTTCCCCCCATTCATCCATTTTTGGATCCAAACTTTGAGTTGCCAGGGTGCTGGAGCCTAACCCATTTGTCATAGAGTGACACAGGGATAGATAAGAATATAGCCATAAAGATTCTCTCTCTCAGGCTTTGGACAAATCCCCAGTCTATGCAATAAGAAACAGGCAAAGAAAAAGAAAGAGATTTCACTTAAACCACACCCACATCACTCCAACACCAGGGTGTGTGATTTCCCAGGAAACGAAAGTTAGCATGACTACATCCAGCAGAATAAAAGGCCAGGGCTGAATTTGCTAAGGGATAATAGTTAGGCTGCATTCCTGCCCAGTGCTACTGGTGATGTTTGACAGGGATCAACTCCAAGACGAAAGAACTGCACTTTTCTGATTTTTGGACATGAAAATTTTTCTGTCAAAGGTAAGTCACTATTCTTAAAATTCTTCATTTATCTTCTTGTACTCCGAAATTATCAAAACCATTAAAGAAAGAAAAGAAGAGTTCAGCTGAGGTCTGCTCAATTTCAATAAAATACTGGTATTGCTACTATATTAATAATTAATACTCTCCTCCCAAAGTTTTGCTCTGTGAAAAGGAAAGTCCTAAAAAAATACCCGTGAAATAAGAAATAAGAAATAAGTTTGTCAGAATGCTTTAACTGATAGGACTCAAAGAACAGAAATGTCTCAGAATAGTCTGTTTGCACAGGTGGCTGGTTGACACCCGGCTCTATAATACCTTTAGAGTTACTGGTGAGTTGCTTCTCAGGTGAACTGAGTTGCTCTTATCTTTGTGTGTGTGTGTGTGTGTGTGTGTGTGTGTGTGTGTGTGTGTGTGTGTGTGTGTGTGTGTGCGTGTGTCCTTTTCGCAGCCTCGCTGTTTTTTGTGCAATTTTGCATGCTTTTTTTTTACAGCGCATTGTGTTCTGCGTCCTGATTGGCTGTAGACCATCGTCAATTAATCTCGTTTCTCCTGTACAGTACATATTGCGTTCAGCTTGTCAAATTTACGTAAATCTTCGATCGCTAGCAGTCTGACTCTGAAGTGCTGCACTGTATGTTTGTAAGTTCTCTCCCCAACAAACACAACAACAACGTTTTGCACCATCAAAGGCACCAGCAATAGCACCCAAAAGGCAGAGGAAGATGCTAACCATCGCACAAAAAGTTGGACTTCTGGACATGCTAAAGGAAGGTAGAAGTTATCGTATTTTTCGGCACCGTCAAAGGCATCTGCGGGTCCCTTTTGTTTCATTCTAAAACATCGGCGAGTGCCTTAAAACATCTATAATAATTGTAAAAAAAATAAAGTTAGCTACTTCATGAATTTCACCTATCGCAGGTTATTTTTATAATGTAACTCCCCCAATACATGAGGGATCACTGTACATACAAAAACATATGGCATTAACAAAATAACAAACTGCACAGTAAGTAGAGCACAATTTCTTTTGCTTGCCATTGTGAACTGATAAAGAGTATGCTATAATACTACCAACTTATGCCTAAACAAACTACAAAATAGTTAATGATGTCAAGGACAAGGTCATAGTAAGCTAAGTCATGGTTAATTAACATGTTTCCTGTCTATAAACTCAGTCAGAATAGAACAGAATAAGAATGATATCTATATTGCCACACGTGGTACATTAGTAAACACCTGAGAACCTTAAATACAGGAAATAATACACTGTAGATCAGGGGTGTCAAATGAGCCGCGGGCCACTGCTGGCATTGTCATCTCATTGGAGGGCCACTTTAGTGTTCAAGTAGAAACAAACAAACAAGAACACCCTCACTAATATTTCCTAAAATGTAGTGTTTTGTTTGTTTGTTTGTTTTATTTAAAATATCGGATAATAAGACAAAACTGCAAACGTGAAAGCTTCCAAGCAAACTAGACTGGTTTGCTCAGAAGCTTTACTCCAATTGCCCCACCTATGCTGTCAGTAATTTGTTCTCCAGTCTAGTCACATATCACTACAACAACATGGTCTCTTATGAAGTCCCAAACACAAGAAAAGACTTAATAGGTCAAAATCTTTCACAAACTACTCACTTGAATAAATACTAAGCATTAGATGGCAAACAGGAAAAGACAATGATGATGTGTGCATTTTAAACATGACACAGTTACTGTGCAACTTTAATAGGTGGAGAATCTGACAGTAAATGTTTCTTCTGTATACTGTACAGTTCAACTATAGCACTGATATAACAGAAGATTACAATGTGGAGTAGTTTGTCATAAATGATTTATCTGAATGAATTCTATGTAGCTGTGTCTTTAACTCTTTAATTCAAAGTACATCAGAGAGTAAGTGAGTGAGAGAGACAGCATCAAAGATAGATAGGGAGTGGACAACTATTGCACAAGAAAGAATAAATGAGAAGACACAAGAGAGTGCTGAAAATAACATGTAAGAGGTGATGAAAAAGGTGTAATGGGCGACTTTATAAGTTCTTAAATTCATTATTATTTTTGGTTTTAACTTTTTAAATAATTTATTTTTAATAAGAATAAATCTAAAACTGCTAAACAACAATCTACTTCTATTGTGGTTTACCAGGATAAACTGCAGAATGAATATACAATAGTACTCATACTGTAGATTTATTCTGTTTCCTTTTAGGTGCATGTTTTCTAAAGTTAACCTTTCAAGCCTTTTTCCTGCTGCTTGTAGTGAGACTACCTTTGAACAAACTGGAACACATGTGGGATGACTGACAGTCGATTCACAATGAATGATTCAGAGGAGGAAGAGGTAAACAAATGTATGATATGGGAATAGAACTGTATTAGAATATAACAGCATAATAACTGAATAACTCATGAACTAATTTAAAGGAGTTCCATGATGCAGTGGATACCTTCGTTGAGCCGGAAGAAGATTATCTGATATCATCACACTCTGACCGTAAGTGAAAAAACTTCATGAGTGCAGATTCAGATAAACAAAATGCACCAAATACTACAGTGCTCAAGTGTTAAGGTTTTTTAATCACTTTTTGTTTTAATAATCTTTCATTGATTGGCCATTAGTTAACTGTCCTTTGAAGACAATGCATTTGTTAAAAAGTAGTTCAATCATCTATGTGGAAGTCCAAAGGAATCCAGGTGGGAGTAGAGCACCACTTTCCTGTCCTGAGTTTTCTGACAGTTCGCCAGAATTGCTTGAAGGCAGACCAACAGATTTTTTGAGTTGGTTTACTCTTTGAACTCCTCCCACACCCTGAGTTTTTGTTTCAGCCACCACCAGAGCCATGTTCTGCCTATCCAAAATTGATCATTGACCTGAGACATGTCCTGGTGTCACATGCACTTATAGATACCCTTATGATCAAACATGGTGTTCATTATGCACAAGCTGCAGCTGTAATTTCAGTCAAACTTGAAAATGTTGATTTAGGAGTAGAAGCTTCTTTCTTGGTCAGGGGTTTTCTGGGGTTTTTGACTATAGAAAAAATGCTCCATTTAAACTTGTTAGTGTGGAGATACTGAGCAGCTTTTTTATTTTCTGACAGATAATCCTCCAAGAGGAGAATTAACTGCTCTCCATGCTGGCAGTGAGGCTGTTCCTCTAGGCATGACACCTATTGGAGAAGACTGTTTGACTGTAGCCATTCAGCAACTAAATCTGGGGACAGTGCATGTAAGGGTAGCAGAGAACGGAGAGGAAGTCCCAGCAGCTTCTGTCTTTACAGGTAAATCTTGATATCAGTTTTATTGCTCTAATGTATAAAGCAGTTGTATAATATGCATAATATGTCCTTTAAGTTTAGCATTTTTCTGTGCTCTTAACATGCTATAGTATGTTAGTCTACTTCTTACTTCTAGCAGACTTCTTCAGGTGTGCTGTGAGTTTAATTTATAAAAGATTTGTCAAACTAATGTGAAAGCAACCAGGAATTTTAAATACTCATAAATGTAAAACTTAGCATGTCAAACCAATTTTTTTAAATGTCAAATTTTGTCAAATTAATTTTGTCATTTTCACAGAGCCCAGCCCTCCTATCCAGATTATTGCAAATGAGGTATGCAGTGATTCGGTGTCTCTGCAGTGGGACACTCCTGATGGTGAAGTAGTGAGCTACACTGTGACTTGTTGCAGCGAGGGGAAAACTGTGCAAGAGCTAGCAACAGACACAAACAGTCTGACCTTCAGCTGCCTGAAGCCAGGGGTGTGTTACTCCTTCCATGTATCTGCACAGCTTAAAAATGGAACACAAACCAAGCAAACAGTAACATCTGTTAAAACAAGTAAGTGAAAATTTGATTATGACATGACATGATTTAAAATATGATTGTGAAAAAAATTTAATTATATCAGTAAGAAAACTGTATTCAGTAACCATACAATCACATCTATCAATCTATGGAATATTATTTGGACAGACAGACCTAAATTATTATCATATGCAAATGATCATTACATTCATTATAAAATTACATATGGTTCCATCAATATTACTTTTGATTGAAAATATTTTTGGGGTATTTACTGAAACATCTTCCTGTTTCAGTAATTGCTGGTTTCATATAGAAAAGTAGAGAAGCCAGGATTTGTTTGTCGCTGTTAAATTTTCCCTCTTTATCATGGAGAGGTCTAATGTCCAAACTTATATCTGTAGGGGATGCGTTATAGGGATGCTAAATTGAGGTCCTTTATGTTTCAATTTTTAACAAATCATATTATTATCTGTGCCCTTATCGGGCATAGATGGGATCTTGTGGCATTTGCCATTTCTTTATACTATAACACTGTGAAAAAATACTAATCATAACTAATTCCTTTGTTCCTCAGATCAGTCAAATTTGGTATCAAATGAGGAACAGTTTAAAAGAACCAGAATTTCTGTTTTAATATAACATCTAATGTATTTTAGAAAGCCATATATTCAATCTGATACAAAACATTTTTTTTTATTTCTGAAAGTATCATGTCAGAAGTTCATAATGTGTGTAGTGCCTATACTCATCAACGAACAGACACAATAACCCACATAGCAGGTCTGGCCCGGATCTCAAGCCGGCACTGCTGACTAACTTCTGGCATGATAAGACGTATGTCATCCAGATTTGGGCCAGGTCTGGCAATGATGCCACTGAACTATGCAAGAGCTAGCACTTTCAGACACTGAGATTCACCCTATAGCTGTCAGCGATCATGCTCCTGTATCTTTAACACTAATGCACAAGAATAATACTACGCCAAGTAAAAACTGGAGATTTAATACATCACTACTTAAAGATGAAGACTTTATTAAATATTTTAAAAAAGAGACTCAAACAGTCTCAGTCAACAGACTTTAGCGAGCAAAGTTCAAAGAGAGGGAGGCAGTCCTAAGCAGCAGCCCCCAGAGTGAAGGATCTTCAGCCTTTTGTAGCCATAGGTGAGCACAATGGAGCACCACAGGATCCCTAGGCAGCCATTCGTCTATGTCGGTTGACATACTTCACCTCTGCATACAGGAAGGCTGGCATGGGACTCCAGCTAACCAATGGTCAGCGAGTCCTGACACTCTTAGATTTCCTTGAAGAGAAAAAGGCTGTCCCACTCCTTCCGAGGCTCAGGGCCGTAACACCCTTCCCAATAAATAACAAAACTAGATTTTGTATACACAGACTTCACAGTTCACAGCAGAAAATAAAACAAGTCATACTCACAACCTGGACAGGCCATCAGCTAGTATATTTTCCGATCCTTTTTCATGCCGAATCTCTAAGTTGTATTCTTGTAGATAGGGCCCATCGCATGAGGAGTTGATTGTGGTTGAACATTTGAGCAAAGAAAACAAGAGGGTTGTGATCAGTGTACAGGGCTCTAGACTAACTTTTTGCCATGGGCGTACCGGTACACCTAACTTTAAAAAGTTAGGCGTACCGGCACAAAAGTTAGGCGCACACAAATTTTCTAATAATTTATATAATATAATGTGTTTTTCTGGATACACTGTGCTTTTTCAGCATTCAAAGATTGATGACACCGTGTCAGAGCACTGGCTATGAATTTCAGAAGGATCAGGCCTTAACAGAAAAGTTAGCAATAGTTCTTTTCCTATTACAGCTACATCCACTTCTGTCGTGCCTAGGCTGCTCACTAAGGCTGGATATCATCACTGATTTCTATAATCATTCGATTCTGGTTTTCAAAGTCCCGATTCGATTCAACTTAGCCTCAGACAGTCAGAAATATTATAACTCTGATCATTTATCAGTACTGACTTCATCAGAATTGTGAACATCACAGCAGATGCCAGAGTGAAAGTAACTGAGAATAAAACAGAAAAACATGAAGGAGATTTTCCTGGTCTGGCTTTTTATAGCAGATAACCTTAAAAAATATTCTACAATGTTCTGCATATAAAGTTTCAATTTCTTCAGTATTGAACAACAGAAAAAATAGGCTTTCTTGTCCGAGGTCATTTAAGTGAAAAAAAGAAAAAGACAGCAGCCGACAGCGCTGTAAACAACGGTAGACTGGTGGGTAATAAGCGAATGAATAATACAGAAAACAGAGATTGGAGACGGGGAAACTGTTCTTGAAGTACAGAGAGAGATAGAGAGAGAGCTAGCTGTGCATGGAGTGTGATTTTAATAGTCATGGAAGCAAAACAGCAAAATTCATGACGCATTGATCAAATGTGAAGCGCAGTTTGCTGCTTCTTTTGCTGCTGGCTCGGTGAATTTTGGTTGGAGAGAGACAAAACCTGCAGCTCAGAATCAGCGCAAAAAGACGTAATCACAGCGCGGACCGGACGCATCAGAACCGCTAAGCTCCGACAGCGTGTCCGTCTACGGGCCATCGAGTGAGAAAGCCGAGAAAGACAAAGTTGATTGTGATGCGTCGGTCTGTGTTTACGTCTTTGTGTGGAATCCGTGTACCTGCTCTCATTTGCTGTTTGGTTGTTGTTGAAATGGTTTTGTGAGCTTTAATCTGAGAATCTGGCGTTTCTGGCAAAACACAGTTATATTTAAAAGTCGATTCAGGATTTAATGAATTGATATCGCTTTATTCAAGCTACTCACCTCCCACTTCCACCTGCACTTTCAACTGGACCACGGCCAATCAGAGAGGTCCCGCCCCTGACTATCTCTGATTGGTTTAGTCCACGATAGGGGCAAAATGTGTGTCTGTTGTTGACCACAGGGAAGGTTGCAGATTTTTTTTTTTTTTTGCTACCCAAACAGTTGGTCGCACAGGTGCAACCAAATTTTTTTTTTAGTCGCACCACTGAAAAATTTGGTCGCACTCTAGAGCCCTGGTGTATACTACAATGGGTAATTCAATTCAATTCAATTCAATTTTATTTATATAGCGCCAAATCACAACATAAGTCGCCTCAAGGCGCTTCATAGATACAGAGAAAAACCCAACAATCATATGACCCCCTATGAGCAAGCACTTTGGCAACAGTGGGAAGGAAAAACTCCCTTTTAACAGGAAGAAACCTCCGGCAGAACCAGGCTCAGGGAGGGGCGGCCATCTGCTGCGACCGGTTGGGGTGAGAGAAGGAAGACAGGATAAAGACATGCTGTGGAAGAGAGACAGAGGTTAATAACAGATATGATTCAATGCAGAGAGGTCTATTAATACATAGTGAGTGAGAAAGGTGACTGGAAAGGAAAAACTCAATGCATCATGGGAATCCCCCGGCAGCCTATGTCTATTGCAGCATAACTAAGGGAGGATTCAGGGTCACCTGGTCCAGCCCTAACTATATGCTTTAGCAAAAAGGAAAGTTTTAAGCCTAATCTTGAAAGTAGAGATAGTGTCTGTCTCCCGAATCCAAACTGGAAGCTGGTTCCACAGAAGAGGGGCCTGAAAACTGAAGGCTCTCCCTCCCATTCTACTTTTAAATACTCTAGGAACAACAAGTAGGCCTGCAGCACGAGAGGGAAGTGCTCTAATAGGGTGATATGGTACTACAAGGTCATTAAGGTAATGTGCTGGACCCCAGGTAAACATGGAAGTCCTGGAGAGCTAGCAACAAAGCCAAGCCAAAAACATAGGGACACTATTTGGTCTGGTCTCTATGTGTCCTGTTCCCGTCTCTGTATTTGTTTACCTCTCCATGTTGCCGTTCGTGTTTTGTTACTTCCTGTTTTATTTTGACAGTCCCTTGTCTGTGTTCAGTTTTGCTTCCCCTGTCCTGTTAATTAGACTGTAATCTGTTGTGTTTCCCAGATGTGCCTACTCTGTCCTAATCTCCTCCTGTGTATTTAAACCCTCAGCTTGTGTCTGTTCTTTGTTGTGTCCTCTCTCATGTTGCATGTGCGTCTCTAAGTCTGTTTGTCTCTTGCCTGTAATCGGTTTACTCCTGTTCTGCCGTGTTAGCATTTTTTGCTACTGTGTCAGCTATAAGCTAATAAAAGCAGTCTTGCACTAGGGTCCTAATCCTTCATGCCAGAGAACGGTCACATGACTCTTGTTTTACTGAGTCAACACTACAAATATAATTATTATACCGGATGACTTTAAGTTTGGATCCAAGCATATTGAGAAAATTAACTAACCATACAATATGTTTAATAATCACTGTCTTAATCCACAGAAACACAGTTTGAGAGCTTATTGAAGGATCTTGGCTTGGACCAGCACTACACCGTGAAGTTGTCACTCAGCAAAATACTTGAAATTGATGAGAAGACCATCACTGATCTACCTGCCAAGTGTGAAACAGATCTTCCATGGTACTTTTTAAAGAAACTGATGATGGGTAATGTGACAGCTAGGAATGTGAAATATATACCTGTTTGTGACTCAAACTGTGACGATCAATTAGGGAGTACAAAGTTAGATCTTAAAAATATAGTCCATAGCCCAAAGACAGGTGTTATGTTAAATCCACTCGATATAATCACTGCTCTCTTTCTGTGTTCTGATGGTTTTCTACAGCAGGAAATGTCACTAAAAATGTCCATGTGTCAGTTCTCTGTTCCTCTGCTGCTTTCTAATCATGACATGAAACAGTGCACACTCATGCTGTGGGCCATGAGAGACATTGTTAAAAAGTACAGACCTCAGTCTCTGTCAGAGTCCAAGGGCTTCATTGAAGACAGAATCGTTCTCTCTGAACTTCCAATGATCTCTTTTGTCAGACTGGGTGAGTGCTCCTTGTCCAAGTCAGAGATTCTCAATAAACTTCTGAGCAATTCTCAGCAGTACCATGACACCTTTGTTCATCGCAACATGGAGTGTGGTGACAGTCCAAGAAGAATATCCAACGGACTGACTGAAATTACTTGGTATCTTCCTTGTGGAAACACAAACATTGATATTTTCAGTCAGCCAGTGGCTGTAGCTAACCTTCGTGGGGACATTGCTTCATTTGAAACACAATACTCCTTTCTGTGCCAGACATCTGCAGCAGTTTTTGTGTTCTTTGACCATTTGGACTCTGAGTGCAGTCTACTTACTAACCAACACCACAAGGCACAGATCTTCTTGGTAGGTAACTATGAGAGCCAGAGCTTCAGTTTAGATACTTTAGAAACAGTAGCAACAATGTTGGGCTTGACTAACAACAACATCATTATTAAGACAAAACAAAAAAATTATGCCGATTTTGTCAAAGGCTTGAGGAAAACAATCAGTGATGTAGTTGAGAACTCACAGATAAAGATGCAAACAGAGCAGATGGCAGAAATTGCCCATGAACTGGGAATCCTGGTTGATGAAGACTCTCCAGAGTGCCAGACTGCAAAGACAAATGCAGAAGCCATCACTGCTGAAATTCAAGATATCCATATATTCAAAGAAGATCAGCTTCCACGGCAAGGTGAAATATGGAAAGAACTGACCTGCTTAGAGAAGGAAGAATTTCGGCTTAAAAAAGTTGGCTCCAAAAATATAGAAGATTACAAAAGTGAACTTCAGCTGCAGAAAGAAAAACTGAGGAAAAGGCAGAACTCTTATGACATGTCCACAGCTATGACATGTTTCATCAATGCAATATCAAGCCCAGGAACAGAGAGGTTTTATTTCCTGAAATGGATGCGAATGAACCTGGATAACCTGTCTCGCATAAAACTGTCTGAACTTCGGGAAAAATATAAAGAAAAATGCAAGAACTCTGAGAACAAAGAGGAGATCAAAGAAATTGACAGACAAATTTCCAACAGCTCACTGGGGACTGAACACTTCTTCCGTGAAATGGGTCAGATCTATGAAGCTTCACTGTCCCTTCCAAAAAAACATCCAGCACGTCAACAGCTGCAGCATCTGCCCAAACTGTGTGCAGAGTTGTTGCTTGATGGATTTCCTCTTGAGCTTGTAGATGGAGATGCATCCAACATCCCTCTCAGATGGGTGAGTGATGTTCTCTCTCAGCTCAGTGACTTGGTTTCTCCAAACAGAAAGATACGTGTAGTCACAGTTCTTGGAGTTCAGAGCACAGGAAAGTCCACTCTCCTTAACACCATGTTTGGAGTGCAGTTTGCAGTCAGCAGTGGTCGATGTACTCGAGGTGCCTTTATGTTGCTCATCAAAATCAATGAAGACATGAAAAAGGTCCTAAATTTTGACTTCATGGTGATCATTGACACTGAGGGCTTAAAGTCACCAGAACTTGCACAACTAGACAACAGCTTTGAGCACGACAATGAGCTTGCAACACTTGTTATAGGGTTGAGTGATGTCACCATTGTCAATATTGCAATGGAGAATTCAGCCGAAATGAAGGACATCCTACAAATAGTTGTGCATGCTTTTCTCAGGATGAAGGAGGTGGGCAAAAAGCCTAAATGTGTGTTTGTTCACCAGAATGTGTCCGATGTTTCAGCCCATGAGAAGAACTCACAAGACAGGAAACTGCTCCTGGAACAGTTAAATGAGATGACCCAGGCAGCAGCCAAAATGGAAAAGAAAGAGGAGAACAAGAGCTTCACTGATGTGATGGAGTACAGTCCAGACACTGGGAACTGGTACATTCCTGGACTCTGGAATGGAAACCCACCAATGGCACCAGTCAATGCAGGCTACAGTGAGGCTGTATATGAGCTCAAGAAAAACATCATCCAACTGCTGGGAAACTGTGAGTCATCTGCTAATGATATCATGGAGTTTAAAGAGTGGATGACAAGTCTCTGGACTGCAGTAAAGCATGAAAACTTTATCTTCAGCTTCAGAAACAGCCTCGTAGCTGATGCATACATGAGACTCTGCACAGAATTCAACAAATGGGAGTGGGAATTCAAAAAAGAGATGTACATCTGGGTTACAAACACAGAAACAAGAATTTCCAATTTTGGTAAAGTTGCTGTAAAATCTGAATCGTCTGACATGAGAGAATTTCTCATATGTTTGAAAAGTGTAGCCTCCACACTGCTGTCTAGATGGGAGACAAAACTTCTCGAAAATCTGACACAGTATTTTCAGCAAACAGAGGGTCATGTTTATCTGGTTGAAGGATACAAAGAGGAATTCTCAAACAGTGTAAAGAGCCTTCGGCACGAAATGGAGAGATCTGTTTTTAATCAGCTCACAGCAGCAGCAGAAATCAGAGAGGGGATGAGAGAAATTGAAAAAATTAAAAAGAACCATACACAAGAGATTGAAAATGCAGTTTGTGTGTTGATAGATGAATGCAAAAAGAAAAAAGTCCAGATGACAGACAAAGAGCTGGAAAAAGAGTTTGATAAGATGTGGAATGAAACACTGGAGAAACTTTCTTTTTGTGAACAAAAGACCTTCAGTGTCTTCACCAGCGTATACCACTTCCTGCGAATCAATCTGTCACACAGGGGGAGTCATGCATGTGAATTATTAAGTCAACAATGTCTGGAAGATTGTGGAAAAGAGCCTTTCAAATATACAGCTGAAGGATTCTACAACAAATTTAAACACAAACTCAGCAAGATGTTCAACATTCAAGATCACACAATGGCTGTACAGCAATTGGCTGACAGCATCATCAATTTTTGCACTCAGTTTGTAAGTGAGAAAATGGAAAGCAGAAACAATTACCATGAGACCTACATCCAGGAGATCCTACACATGATTGATGGGAGTCTACAGTACAATCACGATGTTAAGACAGACATCGAGTTTGAAGTTTCTCTGAAACAGCACATCTGTGGATTTGCAGCCAGAGAGTTTCAGAAAATGCACGAAGATTTCATCCAAGCAAATGATCCCTACAGATGTCTGATGAAAAACAAGGAAAAGTTTCGTGAGGATTTCAAAGACATCTTTAATAAAAGAGACCAGTGTCAGAAGAAGGCAGAAGAATTCACCAACAAATGCTTGAAGCCTGCTGTGGAAGACTTTGTTAATCGCTCCCTGGGTCCTAATATCATTGATGACATGCTGACATGTGAGCAGTTCAGCACACGAATGTCCTTCCAGTATTCAGTTTTATTGGATTTACTCTCAAAGAATGATTTAAAAAACTATCTGAGTTATATTTTTTCATATGAGGATTATGTAAAAACATGGATTTACCACCAAATAGTGGAGCGCTACTCAAATGTGTCAACAGCATTTGAATTTGAGGACCGACATCTCCAGTCATGTATCAGAAGCATAAATGATGCCATCAACAAGGCAAAAACAGGAAAGAGTCATGACTTGAAGACATTTGTGGAAAGCATTCGCAAAGATCTTGATAAACTGGTCATTTCCCAGGATGCTTTTGATGCTTTCATGATCCTAAACAATGCTGATAAGGAACAGTTTGCTGATTGGCTCACAGTGTCTGTGAATGACATGGGAAACATTCTTAGGAGTGAATTTAAAAAGTCAAACTTTGAAAGAAAGCTAAAACAGCTCAATATGAAACCACACAATGAGCTTTTTACCAGAGTGATTGGTTGCGGCAAACAGTGTCCATTCTGTGGCGTGCCCTGTGAGGCAGGAGGAGGAGCCCATTATGAGCACTTTGCTTCACTGCATCGACCACAAGGTCTGGGTTCATATAGGTTTGTTAGAACACAAAAACTTGACACTGAAATATGTTCCTCTCTTGTGATCAGTGATGCATGTTTTTGCAACAGTATTACAAATGGTAAATATCATCCCTATAAGTGTTACAAGGAAATGTACCCAGACTGGAATGTCCCTCCAGATGCGAGTCTTGAAGCATCCGACTACTGGAAATATGTGATGGCGAAGTACAACAAAGAATTTGCTAGTGCGTATAATGCCAGACCTGCTGATATTCCTGCTGCTTGGAAAAATATCACAAAACAGCAGGCAACAGAAAGCCTTAAAGTGTCCTTCTGGATCAAGTAAGATGGACTTTGTCTGACAGAACTGATTTTACGTGATTGATAAATAGATAGATATTGTTTTTACATTATTGATACTTTTTCCAGTTTAATTAAATTACTTTGAATACATAACAACAACAACAATAATAATAATCATTGTGAATGATTTATGACATTTACTGCATATTTACTTTTTACCTAATGGTTCAAATTGTACAAGGATCTTGAAGGTTCAAACTGGGATTTTCATTATGATGAATTATAATATGTTACAGACTGGACCTCAACTGAGTGTGGTCATTTTGTGAGTGAGCACAACCTGTCCTTGTTAATGACCTTGAATATGTATGTTTTTCTTTTTAAATATAACATATCAAATGTCTAAGATAAACCAAATAGTTTCCAATAGTATCCTTTCTGGCACCACTGCATTGACAAAAGTATTGGGGCCCACCTCTTAATCTTTGAATTCAAGTTTTTATAAAAATGAAACACTTGTGCAGTGTCTTTACAAACATTTGGGGGAAAAAGTATAATTCTAAAGAGCTCACAGAATTTAAGTGCAGTATTTTAATAGGATGACACATATCATAGTGATAGCTGTAGTAGGTTTAGTAGTGGCTCCATAGTGTAGTGGTTAACACTTTTGCTTAACAAGTGAACGGTTTCTGGTTTAAACCCAATTAGAGACACAAATCGCTTTTGGGTTTGCATCACAGTCTGCTGTGCACCAGATGTGCTGTAGTGTATTTCTTGTGGTTCTCCACTCTGCCTTGGTAGACCACCATGTCTATTTTTTACATCAACCTGCACAGAGAAGGAAAAGGCAGCAGGAAGTCAGGTACAGATACATAGAGAAGCCTTTCAAGTTTCAAAATAAAAGATTCACTGCAGATGCTGTTTAGCATACTGAATGAAAAAGCCAACACTCTTCCTTCAACATAAATGGTAAAAGAAAAATTGTCTTTATCCAGTGGACCAAAGCACAGTATGGGTAATCTTAAGCTTTTTGTTACATAATTTTGAAAGTTTTACTGTTTCTTTTTTTTTTTTTTTTTTTTGTGTCCCGTTTGGATCTTTGGCCATCAGAATTGTTGTCTTAAGGCCAAGAAAGATGCCAAGCTGATTTATTTTACCAAGTGGATCATCATGGCCTTGCCATATTGGTCCATTTGATTGACCTTTATTATAATTATGAATTTATTTTATTTTCAGTTGCTACAAACGGGACAGACATGACTGGGGGATAGGACAGGGAGAAAGAATGAAAGAAAGAGAGGGAGAGAAAGAAAACCAAAGGGGAGAAGAGACGGTGAGAAGGGGGGGAAGAAAGAAAAAACAAACAAACAAAAAGTTTTACTGTTTCTGTGATAATTACAATACAAATATTTGGTAGTGCCGATACAAAAGCAGAAAGATTTTGTCTAACACTGCTAAAAAAATGGTACTGCTAGACATACCAAAGGATCCAATCTGGACCTGCTTTACAAAATATGAAAAACTACTTCAATTGTACGATAAAGTGAACTACTACTCTTTCTGTGGCGATGTCTGCATTAGAACAGAGGAGTAAAATTTTATTCCTAGATCTAAACAAGCTGTATGACAAAACTATGGTTTATGTGTAAAAGCTGTACAAGTGAAGGTTTTGTGCTTTTCTATTGTGATGTGCAAATTGTAATGTCAGCAGATCAATAAATATGAAAAAATGTTGAAACTGCTATTACAAAAAACAGTGAAAAAATTTCTTTCATCATTCTTCCCGATTTCTTTCATTTACTATAACAAAATTCTTGATCACCTAGAAGAACTGAGCCCTAATTTTGAAGTTACACTTCTTTTTCTTATAATAAGATTTCTCAACAAATTCTATTTATTCTATGCATTGACAGAAACGGGAGTTTCACTGGTCCATACCATTTAAGTTCAGTGGGCTGTGTGTGGTCCATGCCATAAAATGAGTTTGACATACCTTTTCTAAGGCAAAATAAATATCACAACTGCGTTTATAATATAATTTCATTTTTTTAAATTATCACCTTACTGTTCTTATCATCTACCTTACTAATGTGTGCTTCGCACTACCGTAATTCATCGACCATTTTAGCTAGAGAAAAAATTCACACAGTTACTGAAAGAAGAGAGGCTGAGCTTTACGGGACTATTTGGTGTATTATGGTAGCACAAACCGTTCGCAAGCTACTGCTCTGAAAAAAGAAAAGTCAACCCCACTTAGCTCAAAAAAGATGAAATTGGGTGGTTGTTACATGTACAAGATTCAAACTTGTAATGTGAACTAAATAATTTCATGTTTCCATGGTGAACGTAATTAAATCATGTAATTAAATCATGTAATTAAATCATGTAGCATTTACAGGGTGGGCCATATAAATGGCCACAATCTGGCTGGTTTACAGTGTGTAATTAGAGTTAGGTTAATTGTTGGTTCTAAATTACCCATGAATGTAAGTGCAAATGGTTGTTTGTCTCTATGAAATCATCAGCCCCTATATTGGTTCATTAAGCAAGACTAGCAGTAATTGCCTTGATTGACAGTAGTTTAAACAACAAGATTTCATTGTGTTTTCCTAAAGTTTGTAATTTGTGTAGAATGAATTAAAACAAATTTCACTCTACATACTTAAATAAATCACTTCAAGTCAATGCAAATATACTACGTTGATCCAACGTAATCTGATTACATAAACCACCAAATGACGCATGTGTTGGTTTGACATGGCCAAAAATGGGTTATTGTACTTGGTTAAATCACGTGGAAATAGGCACTATGATTAAATTGTGTTGATCCAACGACAGATTTTTTTGAGTGTAGGCTCAAAACCTTTATTGTACATATGTATAGTTCATATTTAAGTTGATGTTGTGTTACATTTTGTTCCTGTTGAATATCAGTTTCTACTTACTATAAATCTGAAAAAAGTCAGTTTTATTGTTTTTTCCACTTTAAGCTGTTGTTTCATTGACATAAAAATACAATAAAGTTAATGAAAGCTGAGGTCATTCTGAAAAAAGCAAACGAACTCACTTACAGTATGATTTCTGGCCCTTTTACAGCCAAAATTATCAAATAAATAACATCCATGTAGGTGTCCGGTTTGTTGTCAATGTATACTCCGAGGTATTTATAGTGATCCACAATGTCCACATCAACCCCCTGGATTGAAACAGGGGTCAAGTGTTTCCTGGTCTTCCTGAAGTCCACTATCAATTCCTTGGTCTTTGTCACGTTGAGCTGCAGGTGATTCTGCTCACACCACGTGACAAAGGAGTCGACCACAGCCCGGTACTCTGTCTCATCATCCCTGCTGATGCATCCAACCACTGCAGAGTCATCAGAAAACTTCTGAAGATGGCAGGTCTCTGTGCAGTGGCTGAAGTCTGTGGTGTAGAGGGTGAAGAGGAAGGGGGAGAGGACAGTCCCCTGTGGTGCCCCTGTGTTGCTGATTACCTTGTCAGACACACACTGTGGGAGACGCACATATTGTGGTCTTCTTGTCAGGTAATCAACAATCCAGGATACCAGAGAAGCATCCACCCGCATTGCTGTTAACCTATCGCCCAGGAGGGTCAGCCTGATGGTGTTGAAAGCACTGGAAAAGTCAAAACCATGACCCTCAGAGTGCTCGCTGGTCCAGGTGGGTGTAGACACGATTGAGCAGGTAGATGATGGCGTCCTCAGTTCTGAGATGGGGCTGGTAAGGGAACTGAAGGGGATCCTGATGTAGTCTGACAATGGGTCGCAGCTGGTCCAGGATGAGTCTTTTCAGGGTCTTCATGATGTGGGAGGTCAGTGCCACAGGCCTGTAATCCTGGGGCCACTGGGACAGGGCGTCTTTGGTACAGGGACGAGGCATGATGTCTTCCACATCACTGGAACCCTCTGCAGACTCAGACTCAGCATGAACAGTTTATCGAAGACTCCACAAAGCTGGGGGGCACAGGCCTTGAGGACGTGGTGACTCCGTCTGGTCCATCAGACTTGCCTGAGTGGAGTCTCCTCATTTGCATCTGAACCTGGTATTGAGTGAAAGTGATGGGTGGGGGAGGGGTGTCAGGACTCTCACAGGAGGCAACAGTGCTATGTGGAGAGAGAGGCAGGCACAGTGGTGTGACTCTGGATTCCAGGCTGACTACAGGTGAGGTTGTGGGGGTGTGAGCAGTGACTGTAGTATCAGCACCCGAGTGCCTTCATTGTGATCTCGGGTGACTTCAACCATGTCACCTTGCTGTTGCTTGGCCTGAATCCAGTGATGGTTTTCATGCCTCTCCACACCTCTCTCATGCTGTTCTGCTGGAGTTTCCACTCCAGCTTCCTCCTGTAATTGTCTTTAGCCTCTCTGATCTTGTTCTTTAGTAACACCTGGACCCTTCTCACCTCCACTTTATTGCTCCCTGTGAAAGCCCTCTTCTTGTCGTTGAGGAGGGCTTTGATGTCCTTAGTCACCCACGGCTTGTTATTTGGGAAACAATGAACAGTCTGAGCTGGAACAATGGAGTCGGTGCAGAAAGTTATGTAGTCTGTGATAACACTCAGTAAGCCCATTGATGTCCTCGGCGTGAGGCTCACAGAGTTTCTCCCAGTCGGTCACCTCAAAACAGCCCTGTAGTTCCACTAAGACCTCCTCTGACCACCTCTTAATGCTTCTCGTGGTCACAGGTTTCCTCCTCACAATTGGCACATTGTTACAACCCGGCTCAAAAGCCGCAACTTAAAAAAAAAAAAAAAAAGAACACCAGAGTGTTAGTGAGAAGAGTTTTTTTCTTAAAATGGAATACCAGGTTGGCTAAAATGGCTAGTTCCACCGAGGCAAAGACAAGTGAGCTTCCTGGAAGCTTGCCTCAGGTATGCTTTGCTAATTGGCCACACCTGACTAGGTGTGGCCAGTTAGCACCAGCTGAAAACATTGAGGAGATTAGGGGCTGCAGAGGGATGTAACAGACATAGCGGGGGGTGAGGTGAATCAGGTTGTGATCTGACCTTCCAAGTGGGGACAGAGAGGAGGAGCTGTATTGCATCCTTAATGTTAGCCTAGAGTAGGTCTAAGATTCTCTCCCCCCTGGTGGGACAGTCCACATATTGTTTGTATGTTGGTAGTGTATTGTCCAAGGTGACATGGTTGAAGTCACCCGAGATCACAATGAAGGCACTCGGGTGCTGAGTCTGTAACTGGGTTATGGCAGAGTGGATAGTGTCACATGCAGCTGTGGGGTTAGCAGAGGAAGGGACGCAAACAGCCACCAAGATGGCATGAGTAAATTCCCTGGGCAAATAATACGGCCTGAGTCCAACAGCACACAGTTCAATGTCCAGGCAACAAATCCTTTCTTTAATTGTTATGCGGGTAGGGTTACACCGCCGGTTGTTAATAAAAACAGCAAGCCCACCTCCTTTCTGCTTACCGCTAGCGATGCTGTCCCTGTCCGCCCGAACACTGTAGAAGCCTTCCATGGATGCGTTGTCATCTGGAATATCCAGGCGCATCCATGATTTGGTGAAACACATCAAGCTACACTCTTGGTGTTCCCTCTGACTCCGTACCAGCGCTGAGAGCTCATCAATTTTATTTGTTAATGATCGCAGATTTCCCATTATGATAGACAGCAGACACGGTTTGTACCTTCTCTTCGCTTTGAGCAACCACTGTCTCTACGTCTCCTTTCTTGTTCTTTTCTGTCCTCGACCTCTGCATCCCCAATGTGTTTTTCTCCAAATTTCAGCTGGTATGTCTGGGGGTCTGGCTGGCGAGCCAGCCAGCATCGGGGCAATCAGCTGATCTCTGGAGTAAACA